GTGCAACAAGAGGACAATGAGCTAAAATGGTAGTAATAGAATTGATGTTATATATCTTGGTAGTATAAAAATTATCTTTTACTGTCCGTAAATTTTAATAGTTGTGATAGCAGGTTAGTATTATTTTTATCACATTTTCAATTAATATATATGAAGAAATTTGCTTATAATAATTTAATAAGGGCAGCTCGGTGCACTAAGCTTCCACTATGTGCGGGGTCCGGGGAAGGGTCAAACCACAGGGGTCTACTGTATGCAGTCTTATCTTACATTTCTGCAAGAGGCTGTTTCCACGGTTCAAACCCGTGACCTCCTGGTCACATGGCAGCAATTTTACCAGCTACACGCAGTCCTACCTTGCATTTCTGCAAGAGACTGTTTCTACGGCTCGAACCGCGTGACCTCCTAGTCCCATGGCAGCAACTTTACAAGATACGTCAATGCTCCATTTTCTTATAATAATTTATTAAGTGACTTAATTGTGCAAATATTCTTTATATTGTTAATTTATAGAGCTTAAACTCACAGCTATGAGCCTTCATATCACAAATCTTTTGGCAAAACCATATCATTTTCTTCTTCTTTCTGGCAAAAGCATATCTTTTTTTTTTTTGCTAACAAGATTTCACCCGCTATCCTTGAGGTGCGCATAAGATATAAATCTTTCTCTTGAGTAATAGTCCGTAAATCACATAGGAGAGTGAATCGCACTAGGCAAGTCCCGTGAAACGGGCTCAACGGAGAAGATATGCAAGTGAGTCTCGAATCCTACACCGCCCATTTGGCAAAACCATATCTTGATTAACCTTCTACAAGGATAAGCATTTAACAACCAAAACTGCAAACCTAAAAGAGTAGGTGAAAAATCTAGGTACTTGTAGCCACTAGATTTTCCTTTGGATCTTTGATAAGTAGCTATAGATTTCTTTTACTTTTTTCCTAAAATTCAGTGCAGGTAAAAAAATGGTAAACTTTATAAGTCAAGGTTTCAGATTCCTTTCCAAATTTGAACTTCCAAATTAAATACTCTTGAAACTAAGCAGTTTCTGATAAAATTCTGTATCAAACAGAATGTTTTTTAATAGCACGAGTTTTATCCTATGGTCAGAGGTTAACTTTTACTAGTTTAGTTCAGTTCAGCAATTGCTTAATAGTGCGATCCAGTTGATTGGCAGTAGGTAGTTCTTTCTTTTACTAAAAAAGGAATGTTTTTTGATCAATAACTAAAGTAACCATAAACATAAAAAAGACTAATGCTGCATTCAGTATTACAATGACCACTATCAGTAGTGATGGGATGGATATAATCTTGATTTTCGTCCTTAATGTGAAGTCTTGGATTCGAGCTCCGAAAATAAAAAAAAATCTTAGTAAAGAATGCTTCCTCCTTTATTGAGTTGAGCCTTACGCGGCGCGAATCGAATTAATCGGGACTCCAATTCAAGTACATGACCTCGCCAAAAAAGTGCAGGCAGCGCTCATACATTAGGATAAAATAAGAGAAGGTCGCTTGAGATGGTCGACTTATTAATGCACTGATTCATAGGTGTGAAATATGGTGAGTGAAGGGATTAAAAAAGGACGAGGTAAACCTAAAACCACACATAAAGAACTTGTCTCGAAAGACCTACAATTTCTTAGAATTAATGCATATTAAGCAAAAGATAAGACATAATAAAAGAAAAAAAATTTATATAAGTGATATCTACTTGCCAACTCCAACTTATTTGAAACTAGAGCATAATGTTGGTGTTATCATCGTCTGTTTACTAAATAAAAATATATAGGGTTTTACTTTTTACTTTCACTAGCTTATGAACCATTACAACTCTTTGTAAAAAAAAAAAAAAAAAAAGACAGTTCGGTGCACAAGACATCACGCATTCATACAAGATCCGAGAAAGGGTCATTACAACTCCATGTATTTTCCTTTATTTAAAAATCAAACATCCTGTCATGACCCCTGCACTCTCTCAAGACTTAAAAATAATCGGCAAGTCTCAAACTTCTCATGAATTAATTCTAGTATATAATTGGACCGGCGGTTCTTCCCGTTTCTATTACAGATCAAATCACAGAATCTTTGTATGTATACGTTGAGAAGTTATATTTTTCGAACGAAAAACTTTTAAATCTTGATTTCTAGAATGGCAGCAATCGACTTATTTCTGTCTTATAATTTTCTTGTAGTATTACTTTCTTTTCAAGCGAATCTCTATGACAACTCCGATAGTGCGATGGACAATATGTACAAGGCTCGAGAACGAATTCGATGCATATGGCTGACCGAATATTACTAGCGATTTCAGCTTCGAAGTCAAAACTAAGAAAGAAAGAAAAAAATATGTATACATACTCACATGTATATGTATTGACAAGTAAACCATAAAAGTTCAACATCATCAATCTACATTGTGATTCCATTTTGAATACGTGTAGTGTATACTATAACATAGTGGGCAATGAATAGAGCACGGGTATTTTGTGTACTCTCTCTCTCTGCTTTCTTGTTGCTTTTATGATATGCATTGTAATTATTATTTTCTCTGTCAAAGTATTTCATCGTAAATTTCCCCACTTTTCTACGGCCTATATAAGAACTTTTGACCGTCAAAGGTAGATAAAGGCACATACTCATCATGATTTAAATAAAAATAATATTACATGGTATTCGATATCCGTATTAAAATTCGACTCAATTCGAAATCAATATGGATAAATCCACAATTGAGAATAAAACAACCCTTACTAAAATCGATTTCATACTCTGAGTTTGAATTCGAGACCTTTAATAAAGGATAAATAAATACTTATCGTTTCAATATGACCCTTGTTTGTCATCATTATGATTATTGTAGTTGGAGTTGAAATTATTAGTAGCTTTAGCAGAATATAATTACTTTACACATGATGATAATAACAACAATAATACTACTTAGGATTATGTTGATATTGATGTTGATGTTGTAAGATAAATGGAGTGAATTCGACTTTAAAATGGTCATTACCATATAATTTGACACCCAATTATATCAAAAATCTTTTCTCATTTCCCATGATTCATGGCATAAATTTCATAATCTAAGAGATTAATAGGTAGCTTTTGCCCGAGAAATATGCATGCTTTGACAAAATCACATGCTTTGTAATAATATCAATGATGACATGAAATAAACATTCATATAAAAATAATGTACCCATAATTCACCTTTGCTTATTACATTAAAGCTTTCTATGGTACTGGAATTGCAGAGATACAAGTTCAGTCAAAATTAGAGTAAACACTCTAATTAATCTCAAATACCCTAAGAGAATAACCTCACAAGATCACTCCAAAGAAAGGGTTCACATGTACAAGTGATTCCCAACACTAACTCTCATACAAAACACTTTTAATAAAGGAGGAAAGGAAGAAATAAGAAATGAACACTTAAGTTTTGTTGTTGTGTCTTCAAATGAGTAGAGACTCCTCGTTATCTATATAGAAAAACAAGAAAGAAATGTTTGACCAACAATTGTCCATATCCTCTCAAAATACAAGGTCATTTATTTGGCCAACAAAGCCTTAAATAAAAGATTTCAAAAGTGACAACAAGACTCACAAATAAAAAGCCTAAAAATAAGGCCACATTTTATAATTTCAAATATTATTCCCAAACGTTTTCTATAAAGTTTTAAATACTATATTCTGTAAGTAGTACGCAATTTTTAAAAGTACAAAAACTAGAGTCATCTTTTTTTTTTTCGTTTAAAAACTAGACTTTTTCATTTAGAAACTAAATTACTAAAGAAATAACTTTACGTGGCTAAACCTTAACCAAGTAAAATTAATAACGATGTATAATATTAATAGGAATGTCAGAAATGTGATAGCATGTGTTAAAAGCAGTCATGTTCTAGCCATTTGAAAAACTCCCTCATTTTTTCTTCAATGTCTTTATATTATTTTCCTCCATTACTAAGAATAGACCATTGTAACTTACTCATAAAGAAATCATAGTTATGTTATTACTCATAAAGTTGAATTAATGATGTAATTAAGAGAGTTCACATTATGAGGTTATTATACGGACAGTAGGTAATTACTTTTAAATAGAATTTATAATAATATTTATCATAAAATTCTCTTATTATAGTCACCTTGTTACGTGAACTGATTTATAAATAATAAACCATGCACATAACTCTTAGACGTTTGACTAGTGCCCTAAGAATTAAGAAAAGAGTAAGGTACTATGACTGCTTACCATTACTTAAATTACATCAATGTATATGTGTAATTTTCTCTTTTGGAATAAGTTTTAAATTTACTTTTGAAATATTCGATTTGTCTTATATATGCTCTTTATTTGTTTTTCAGTTCTAGAAAGCACCACACAATTAATTTCGCCCATATTTACCCCTCCCTATAATGACTGTTTAGGTTAATTTTCATGACATTTGCGACGAAGGAGCCACGTAAACAAAGAAAATATCAAAATTTACCTATAAGCTATAAAACTGATTTATAAATCATCTGTAATAATTTGAATTATGCTCTTGAACAGTTGAAAATACACAAATGTACTCCTAAACTTTTGAAAAGATCCTATTAAATCGATATATCACGGTAAAATATCGTCAATAAGAAAGACATATTTAAGATAAAAGATAAACGACGGAAAGAGAGGCCAAGTTTTATTTTACTTCGTATTACTTGAAAGAAAATAAAAACATATATAAAACAAGGGTTATGGTAAAGTAGTAAATACTTTTTTCATCCTTAACCTCGGGTTTGAGCCTTAAGTATGAAATTATCTTAATTAGGGAGTGCTTTACCGTAATATAAGATTTTTCGGCACGTATCTGAATTTAATTGAGCACAATACACAGGACGAAAAAAAAAAAAAAAGAACATGTATAAGCAAAGGAAGATAAATTACAAAGGGAAATAGGAGTATATTTGGACCTTTTCTCCCTTTTTAATATCCTTTCTTCTTGTTCTTTACATCGTCCGAGTATATACTCGTATATTTATAAAGCCTGAGAAAGCTGTAGCAAAAAACTCAAAACGTGCTCTTCTTATCATAATAATGGCCACCACCAAAATCCAAGACGAATCCGACAAAGAAAGCACCACTTCTTCTTCACTAACAATGGCGGAAAATTCTACTCCTCGGAGTTGGATGAGTAGTACTACAAATCTCAGCTTCAGCAGCAGTCGTCGGACCTCCATTTCTACAGAAACTCCATATAATTTCTCCAACTCTCACAAACCCCACAAGTCAAATCAAATCCCTTGGGAACTCATTAAAAAACTCCGAGTCAAAACAGGTCAAATCAAACTCGAACATTTCCGACTTCTCCGCCGTGTAGGTGGCGGAGACATCGGAAATGTTTACGTATGTGAAATTAGAAACCCTATTGTAATCAGTAATTGGCCAGAAAATTACACTATGTCGCGAGGTAATTTTTTTTTCTTTATGTCTTTCATCGGATCCTGTATCAACGCGATTCATGGCAAATCCAGAAATTTTTCC